TGACCATTTCTTTTGATTGAAGCTTCTGCAACGTAAGCGTCAACAAATTCTCATGACAATTTACACCATGCCCTTGAGATGCTGTTAATCCTGATGATAGGTTCTTTTTCGTCAATAGGCCCGTGTTAAACCAAGCATTAATGGTATTCAGGTCAGAAAAATCGTTGTTGCTCCTGGAATCTCCAAGTTTCGATCCAAGTTCTATACGTTGTTCACTTGTTTTATGCTTTAGTTTGGTTATAGATGTCATGGACTCGTGGACGGCAGTGCACTGGTGCATATTCAGAATCCTCTGAAGAAGAATTGYCTCAGTCACTCCGGAACCTCTTGTAAGCCCTCCTCTGCTCTTAATCGACCTTATCATAACCTGCTCGATAGTAAGGTCCGTCCATAGTCCTTCTCAAAAGCGATTGCTTCTGCACACTACGTGCAATCCATGCTCTTGGAAGCAGATGTATTACCAAAGGTGATCCTTTTTTTCCAATTTATTCAATTCAATGATACCTGTTGTAATGTATTATAGCTAATTCGTTTCTTTTCTAAGCTTGTAAAATGCTTGAAATTTTCAAAAAATCTGTGCTTAACTWCTCTACATCTTCACATAAAAACAACACGCCATGTGAATGGTAACTAAACAGGGTACCCAGTAGACTCTAGAAAGCGCTCGGTTTTTAAAAGTTTTAATTTTTTTTTCTTACGARTTTCAAGGACAGGTCAGCTTTATTATTACATTAAAAACGTGTTTTTTTAACAAGTTTAAACGAGCGTGACATCAGAAATGAATTAAAATRAAAGAGATTATATAACTCTAATCGTTCCAGCAAATTGTTCATAAGCGAGTACAAAAAATTTAAAATGGTAATATCTTTTTTTCCCCAAAGCCGATTTCAGCGGATTTTGGATATGTTATAATTCTATAGGAAAATTCATTGGACGACGAGGGAATTCTTGAATCTCATACCAACACTTATTATTTACAATTGGAAAATTTTTCAACAACGTGAACCTCGTTACGCGCCCTTCGGAAGCCATTTCGTAGCTGACTATAGAGCGKATTTCGTATGAGTGGGACACCGTTACCGCACGGTTACCGCACAGTTACCGCACCTGGCCTGCAGAATTTTGGTGGAACAATGGGGCACTAGAATTTGGTTACAGTACGATTACGGACACAGTACAGTACCGTCCGTTTCCCACTCATACGAAATCCGCTCTATGATTAGCCAATAGGAAACGATCACAAATTTATCTGTTAGTGAACGTTTCATCATTTCATTCACTAAGTTAGTTGGTAAGTTTACTGTTTTTCAATCCGGTGTTAACAAAACGTCTTATTTAGTACGGCTAGAAAGCTAATTATGGACTGTTGACGCTAAAAATCGATGTATTTTACATCACATTATCGAAAACAAGCGAAGATATGTTATTCTCTGTGATTATAGCTGTCAAAAGGGGATCCACAAGCGAAGAAAATACACTGAAAAATACTACAATACATTTGTATTTGCAAGTCGTTGGTTTTACAATGATTACTACATAAGCTTATAGGTAAGTAGTAAGCGATAATTGTTGTTTTCTTCGGCCATGGTGGTGTTTTCCGACGACGTTTGTTGTTGTTTTTTATCGAGAAGACGTCGCCTTGTAGAGGCAAGTGAAAGATGTGTTTTTTGCGGCTCTTTTCGATGTTGAATAAATTGACTTCGAAGTTTGGTATTTCGTATTCCCCGGCCTCTGGTTGTTTTGGGAATTTGAAACTGGACATGTGAAATAACAGTAGCTTAAAAAGCGAAGCGAGTAAAAAACAACAAAGCGCAGGCTTCCTGACTTTTCATTGAATTCAGCTTTTCCGCTAACAAACATTGGTCGTTTTTATAGAACAGCGATATTGTAACAAAGCCTGTATATCATTTTTGGTTTCTCTATGAAAAGAGCTTCTATTCTTGTTACTTTAAATTGTTATTTGTGAAAAATGAAAAGAAAATACGACAAAATCAAAATTCAATCGCGCGGGATCCCTGATTTTTCATTGAATTCAGCTTTGAAGCGTTGGATTCCGCGCTGAATCCTTCACTACGTCACATTTTSGTCATCTCGGACCAATCAGCGCGCGATTTAATTATGTGATATGAGATTCTACTAAAAGATATGCGTAAATTGATACCAAATTTGCTTCTATAACATTTTTCCGGGTAAGGCCTAAATTTCATGTTTGACGACCAGACTATAGTGTAGAGGATTGAGATACATGTGGCGTTTTCAGTATTTTAAGGGGAAAAACAATAGCAATTCAAAAACTAATATAAGGCCTTCATGCTYATACCTCATAGTGCTGACACAGAATGGCTGAGCAAGTTGTACTACAATGGAACCACTTCCAATCTGATGACAGGTATAGCCAGAATTCCAGTCATAACATTTTGTCTCACCATTGAGCAAGGCATTCCAGCTACGGCTGACACCTTCAATAACACTAGCACTGGCTTCTGGGATTGCCATGTTGGATGGAGGAACTAARGCAAGAACATTAGTAAACATTGTGGATTTCTTGATATGGATAAATAAATGACATTTCACAATGACCATTGAATTTCATGATGATATAATTGATCATTGACTGGATAATAGCAACAATGATTTTRTGAAATGTTAATTCAATTTGGACATTCTCTGTTTTATGGAACAAATGGCAACAAAAATATAGCTGATGAACACTGTACGATTGAAATGCRAAAAAACACTTGAGTGTGTACATGCATAATAAGATTACAATTAAGTTTTATGCCTTGAGGAGACTAAGCAGTTCTATAGTTGTGATTTATGTGAATTTCTTGAAAAAAATATCCACCAAGTTCTGATTTATTATGTTTTCCTACTACACTCCATATTTTGAACTACATGTAGCAGATGAAGAATCCTTTTTAACATCTAATAATACTTACCAACAATGCCGTCGTCAGTGACTGTGAAAGGCTTGGTTGAGTACAAACATTCAAAGTGGACTAAATGAAACACCTTGTTGACACTGCAGTATGTTCCTTTGATCCTGATATATCTGAATGCAAAAAAAACAAAGATGCATTACACCGATGAATGAATGTATACTCTGAGAGCAGAGAGTCTTTCTTTCCTTCTGTGCAAGAGAAAGAATCTCTGACATTTTCCAGTAACTATGTGCACAGCACAACCATGGGTATTTTTTATAGTACTTCATCCAGATATGTATGTGGTATGCAGTTTCATTACTTTCTTGATTGAGAAGGATTGTGTTAAATGAGACTAAAATTATAGTATCATTACATGTAATACTGACACCAATAATGACACCTCTTGGTTTCAATTTCTAGTAGCCTGCGTAGTGGCCCTAAGAGGATTGGGGAGGGCCGGCCGAGCAGGTAGTGGAGAGGAAAAATAGGAAGGGCCTGCAACAGAACTCTTGGTTTTACAAAATCTACAGTGGAATTTGGCTGTAAATTCCCTAATGGTCGAGAGGAACAAGCTGTCAATCAAATGTCAAAGTGATAGATACCATATCAAGTTGGCGTATTTACCAATATGGCAGGCGATGAAGAAGAACAAAGAAGAATTTCATAGTTRGAGCTTGTTTTAAGTAATTTAAAAGAAAAYGGTTTCAGTATAGATACTCAAAGAAGAACAGAGACAAGCTTTGGCCTGGACTTCACCCTGGACTTTTTCCCGTTGGTGTAAAGAATGTTCGTTTAGACGAACCGCTAGAAGAACCATTACTAGTATCGAGAAATTGTGGGACTGCTTTTGCCAGAACTTCATAGAATTTAAAAATATATATATTTGCCTTTCTAGCACAGAAAGAAATATAATTTGAGACAGATGTTATCTTCAAGATAAAAACCAACGCTTCAAGGACGGTTGGTGAATACAGTAAATAAACTGCAACTCTTGATCTCGCGAYGTCATACTGACAAYGCTTCGTGRTTTATTTTGAGAACTGCCAAGTTAGATTTGCCAGGYTTTTGAATAATTAATTTGGAGGCATTTTGTAAAACCATGGGGTTCCCTTGCAGGCCCTTCCTATTTCTCCTCCCCAGTCCCCGCTCGGCCGGACCTCCCCAATCCCCTTAGGGCCGCTACACAGGCTAATTTCTAGAACTCATTAATAATTCATGAGCAATTACTCCAAGGAGCATCAAACTATTGGGTCACATGATGGCCCTTTAAATCCCAATAAATCACTGACTGATGTTTTATTAATCAGTTGTATCAGGTATCAGATAATAAAGAAGTGATGCTCAAATTCATGAGAGCTTTATTGCAACCCAACACTAGMAAAGGTCTCAGTTTAAATGATGCATCATAGACCTTTGCTGGGTTTTAAATCAGTTTGAATCAATGTGCAGACATGCACTTTAGCATAGACTAGCTGTTTTTTGAATCCATATATCCCAAAATGTGCAATCTCAATCTATACACAACACTTAACATTTGCAAGAAATCGAATGTACCTTACAACTCTTGGTTGAAAATGCAGTGTCTGCCATGATCGACAGAGATATTTGGAGTAGTCAATGACCTTGACCCAGTCCTGACTATCCATAGACACCTCAATAAAATAGGAGTATGAGCGCATGTCTTTATCCCATAGAAGCATTCTTATAGTATTGATAATACTAGGTCTGCCCAATGAAATACATATACCCTTGTCACCATCTGCTATTAGATGTCGAGAGAAACCACGGTCTACATCATAGTTGACATTGTCTGTATCTAGGATACTGTCTCTTTTTTCACCTTCAATAACTTCAGAGCCACATGATGTGATCGCTATGTTCTCATTTCGTACTGAAACAGATAAAAAAGGTCAGATTGTTCAYAATATTAACTTGAAAAATCAGAGCAATTTATTGGATAAAATTAAAAAATAAATCATGCTTATGATTTTTGTAATTTCCAAATAGTCAAGGTCTTGGCAGGTATAATCAACCTTGGACTTCAGCCTCTGCAGATTACACTTGCCTTGACCTTGTTCCATTTATTTAATGTGTGAACTCTTGGACATTTTGAACATGGGGTAAAATTACCAGGGATGCTTGTCAGACATTTTCAAAAAAGACCCTTAAAAGATCCTGAAAGTCTTCAAAAAGGGCATGGCTGACTGATTTTTAATCCCTAAGAGATTGCACAACAAATATTGTTTAAATGAAATCAGTTCCAACAATAAATATGCAAGGGAAAATCAATATCGAGAAAATGAAAATTTCCAGAATCTACAAATTGGCACCCTCAAAGATTCCAAATCACAAATTTCTACCCCTAAGAGTTCTGAYGAGCAACCCCGGTCCTTTTACCCCGGAGTTCTCCCAGGCAATTTTGATGCTAGAAATCTGCAACTGAAGCAGAACATCCTTGGAATCACCGTGATTGTAATTTATGACCTATATTGACTGTTAAAATTGCACTAAATAATCTAAGATGTCCTTATACAATTTCAAAACTACACGTTCAATTCAATTTTACTTTTTAGACTTCCTGCCTCTTCGCAATATATCAGTTTTATTTTGAAATAATTCGTTTAGACTCGATTTAGACACGCCATGTCACGATAAGTGGAAGGGCTATATGTATATTCTTCGTTTCCASGTTATGTCACAGCAGCAATCTTGGAGRAACTTTAACAAAGGATTTCTCATTAGTATCTATTGTTCATTCCTCCAACATGCYCGACGTTCTTTTATCTATCGAATCTCATGGGAATGGTTGAAAACGATCAATAAACATTAAAACATTATTTGCGAAAATACGAAAAAATTCTTACCTAAATGACCACGAAAGTTCATTTCACTTACACGACTCTCTGTTTTGACTTTTATTGCATCTAAAATAGCATCAGCACTGAAAAGGTTTGTCGGTCTTACAGTGTGAAACAGCTCGTGCAAGCTGATGAGAGTAAGCCGAACTTTGTCGAGAACGTCTTTGATGTCGTTCTCTGCTGCTTCATCRTTTGCTTCAATCCAGTCTGTTACTGCACAGAAAATCTGAACTTCTGGAGCACAAAATGAGTCTCTTTTTATAATTTCAATTAAAGAATTCTTAGATAAGACAGGAAACGAGTCTGTCGAAAGAACCTCGACTGCATTCTGATCAAGATATTCCAAACAAGAATCGTATAAATCTTTAAGTTGGAAGAATGAAGATAAATCAAAAATTTGGCAAACGTTTTTTACGTCAAGTACCGCTTTTAAGTACCCTTGAATTGCACTCTCCAGTGCGAGAAATCCGTACTTATGAGCTAAACTAATGAGCTCCAGCACAACTTCCAAACTCAACTCTCCGAGTGACATCTTTCCAGTGTAAATGTATGTAAGCAGAACATTGAAAGCGCTCGAAGAACAGTCACTGATCTCTATTTCATTGGCAGGATTTGTTTCCCTCATTCCTCCAAACAATAAAGCTCTGAAATAATCGCTTCTAGCCGCCAGTATCACTCGATGTGCCTTGAATTTCTCTTTGTCAACAACGAAAGTCACATCAGTAAACTCCTTGGACAAGTACAACAAGCCAGACTGCGACGAGAGAAGCTCAACATGGTCGATTTTCGCGAGTTGTAAGTCTTGATTATCACCCATAATAAGTCACGATCAACATCTGACTTCAAGGTCCAACTGCATGCCAAAATTACAGCTGTTTCAGCAAGGAATCCTCAATGAAATCGTTTCAGCTACCTATCGTCAAAAGTCTGTATGACCGAGGTTAAGAGAAAGACTGGGAATCAGCCATTGCAACCGCGCAATCTCAGTCACAGGAGACCCAACGGCCAGGTCAGAGTCGCGCACATGTACGAAAAATGTATTTACATTAAATTATAGATGGTGTAACGAAATACGTAATCTTAGGTTATAAATTCATGGACCATGATCTTTTTATTTACTTAGTTACATGTAACGAAGTTCACTTAGCTTAAATTACATAGATTTTGATGAGTCCCGTGAAAATATATACTATAGAGAGCGGCAAGCGGCAAGAAACACAGAGAGACGTTTTCGAGAAAGAACTTAGAAGCGAAGTCAGCTGTACTATAAGATACTTGAGAGCAGACCTTCAGCGTCCTGAAGCTAGCGAATTTCGAGTATTGGAGAACAGACCAGCAGAGTCCTCAAATACAAGAGAAAGAATCCTGAAATACAAGAGCCAATACAAGAGAAAGAATCTTGAAATACAAGAGAAAGAATCTTGAAATACAAGAGAAAGAATCTTGAAATATACCCGGGGGGGAGGTACTACCAACTTGTACCCCAACTTGGGTGGGGGTGTGCTGCACGACTCTCAAAACCCTTACCCTATCCCAGACCAATTTTTGTGATTTTGCATACTCTACCCCAGACTAAGGGTACAAAGGTTCATTTTAGCGCTGAAAGCGTGGCCTAGCACATACGATCACAGGCAAAACTCCACCCTACCCCAGACAATGAGACTATACCCTATCCTANTTGTGGTTGTCTAGTTCTCTTTTCCAGTGCTCTGACAGTGTTAACAGTGCAGTATCACATCCATGGTACTTTCTGTATGCAAAAACATACTTATGATAGATTCTCTCGAATTTCGGGCTGACTCGGTTGTGAACCAAAGTGCCAAATATTTTGGATAGGGAAGGCAAAACTGTAACAGGTCTGTAATTTGATTTATCTAGACAACAGTCCTTTTTGAAGACTGGAGTTATTTCACCTTGTTTCCATTGCTGTGGTATTTCTCCCTTATCGAAAATGTAGTTGGCAAGGGTACTGAAGGGATGGCATAGTACTTCGGCTGATTCTTTAACTGCCCGTGGAGGGATACGATCACTTCCGGTTGCCTTATTTGCTTTGATGTCTGACATAATGTTTTTAACTTCAAGGGCGTTAGTTTTGGTGAGACACATGTGCAGAGGTTCAGGTTGGTTTTGAGTAATGTTAGATAAGTCAATCAGGTTTGGTTGTGTTCCGTTGTCCATTTTACTTGAAACGCTTGCAAAGAACGTGTTTAGAATTTCACTAACTTGTTGTTGATCTCTGATGATTTCGCCATTGTCCTTTAACGTTATAGTTTCTCCTCTGGTGTTTTGATTTTTACGTGCATTGATGTAGGGTTTGATGGTTTTCCAAAATTTCTTTTGGTCACCTCGTTTCTCTTTACATAACTGCTGAAAGTGCTCTTTTGTTGCTTTTCTTCTCATTTTTACAACTTTGTTTCTCAGTTTTCGGTATTTCTCCCAGTCTGTTGAGCTTCTTGTTTTGTAGTATATCTTCTTGGTAGCGTCGCGTTGTCTTATACACTGTCGAACTTCGTTTGTGATGAATGGTGATCTAGTGTGCGAGCGGCGTTTAAAAGACCTGATTAGGGCGTGGTCGTCTAAAACTTGGTTGTACATTTTTTCCCAGCACCAATAGACATCATCAACCGTCATCGAATACGTAGGGAACTGAGAAGGGGACTTGACTTAAGTCTTCGAGGAAAAGATTGGCTATCAAAGTTCTTAAACGACCGTGTGACAATTGTTTAAGCTTTTGGTCTAAGTAATTTGGTGTTCAATACGGTGTAGAAGCTTATGCAATATTGATGATTTGTCGAGTTCATTACAGGTTTAACGAAGTKTTTACGAGTTTTCAATCATCTAAAATTACTAGACGACATTTTTCATTAAATCAAAATAGACGAATTGTTAATAATAATCAGATAAATAGCAAACCAAGCGGTAAAACTCGAGTTTACCGTTTTGGACAAATCCCCAACTTTTGAAACTTTGCCGTAGGTTTTACACAAACAAAAAATATCAGCTTCAGTCATTCTTCAGTCATGCTTCAGTGAAGTACTATCATTGAAGATATAAACTTTTTCAACTAATCACTCTAAACTATAAAACTGTAAAAACCAAGACGATGTCTATGTCTGTCTATCTGCTTCGGTTTTCAAGGTGACTAAAGTGTCTTGAATAAAATGTTTTCGCTGAACAAATTCTTTGATATATTTAGTATTTTGGCCTCGCAAGACTTTGATATTAATTTCATCTTGATTTCCTCAAGTATGTTAAGGCTTGAGTTATTCGGTCTTGACGCACGATCAGCTTGTATTGTCTGTAAAACTAGTTTCGTTTTATTGTAAAACCTCCTCAGTTACAAGACTTTTCTAATATAACATCCGTTGTATGCGTTATTAGTCGGACTAGCCGAAGGCGAGGTCCGACTTTAAAATTACCTTTTAGACAATCTATCTGTGTGTCATGTCGCGTTTGGACCACCGGAAGTTAAGAAATTTAATAATTAACAATTGGGTTGGCTGTGTTATTACATGACCGGAAGCTCAAACGTATTGATGTACGATTATCGTTAGTATCACATGCTACTTGGCTTTTATATGACAAAAAAACCATTCGTTTACAAATGTGGTATCTGTGATCTCATCGGAATGCATCAGTCTAGGAATCATAAGTACGCGCATGTGCAGATCGCTTGGTGCTTCGAGTAGTATGCTTTCGAAACTAAATCAATAGCCTTTATAGCGTTAGGCAGTGCTGTGTGGGCAAAGGTTTCAAATTAGAACAAGAAGAAACATTTTTTATCAATAACAAAAAGGCGAGTTTATGATTTTATGGTATCATTTACTTTTGGGCCTGAGAGGTCAACGTTCACTAGCTTAGCATCACATAATCTACATACCAACGTTTGATTTTATCAGTGAAAGCAAGGACTCCTTTAAAACGTTCATTGCTGGTATTGATTACATGACCTTTTAGGTCAAGTTTATTTTAGTCTCAAGAGAGTTTGGATATTTTGAACTAGACGCTCTTATTAGACCGTGAGTTCGGCTATTTTGGAGAAAAATTANGAACGGAGGCAATCAGCCTAATACATCCCGAGGGCCGTAGGCCCGAGGGATGTATAGGCTGATTGCCGACGTTCGAGGTATGTAACTGGCTTATTTCATACTTGAAGAAGTTTTCCAAGCACTGCATTAATATTTTCATTTTTAAATAGGCAAAGAAGCCGTTTTCATATGAATTAAAAACCAAACCCTCGATTAGAAAGATTACGAAATTTACATTATTGACCATTCCCAACGGGAATAATTTGCATAACCAATTTTCTCGTTAGTCCCATGAGACCAATGCTAACAATAAACCTTTTGTAACAAGTAACTGGACAATGTTAAATAACTGTTTTATTCCATAAATATGACTCATTATTATGTCCCATGAGACCAATGCTAACAATAAACCTTTTGTAACAAGTAACTGGACAATGTTAAATATTCCATAACTGACATCGATTAGTCAGTTAGCATAACGTGTTAAGTATAGGATTTTCAAAGCTAAGGTTGTGGGTTCGAATCTACTTGGTGTCATTTGAATTTTTCTTTCTTTCTTTCAAGTTTAAAGTTTCAGACGGAAAATTTCTAAGTTGAACGTAGTAGTTAATTAGGTATTCAAGGGCAATATACATTAGTATTCAAGGGCAATATATAGATATTGCCCTCAAATGGGGGCGATATCTAGATATATCCCTGAAACTTCGATATAAAGCACTTGAATACACAACGAGCTGGGGAATAAGCGAGATACAACACTATGAATAACAAAGAAAACTGAATCAAGTATGAAATAA